GAACTCGCAACGATCCTCCTGCCTCAGCCTCCCGAGTGCTGGGATTACAGGCGTGCGCCACCACGCCCGGCTCAGTGGAGAACTTCAAAAAGCACCAGCAGCCTTCGATCTCCAAATCCTTTCAGACAAATACTGGGTGAAACTGAAATACAGTCGGATGTGGACTCCTGCTTTAGAAAGTAACGTCAAAAAGTACTTCCAAGCAGAACAGCGCCCCTCCCCCGTGCTTTACATCCTCTCTGTTACTCTAATATGTATTGGAGTGCAAGTAAGTTGTCACAGTACCATAGGTCCTGACCTTTGGAGTTTTGGAGTAGTATTGGCAGATTACTTACTTTATGTAGAGTAAGAGAAAAAGCTTTTCTCAGTGTATTCATCTCACCGTTTAACTGTGAATATGACTTACCGCCCTTCATATTATCGTTGAAGACTAGTTTTTTTCTCTTGGTACTGGTGGGAATGGAGCCGAGAGCCCCTGTACACCCTAAGGAAGGCACTGTACCACCGAGCCGTACACCCTTAGCTTAGCCCACGTTATTCTTGCTAGTGTGTGAAAAGTGGGTGTGTTATCCATATCACTCTAACCATGGCATGCGCAGTGGTCAGGAAATGTGTTGGTTTGCATTATGCGCAGGTAATTCCTTTAGGGTTGTAAGCAGACTGTGTAAGGGAATCCTTGGAGGAGTGTGAGAAAGCAATACATGAGCGTAGTACAAGACCATGTACTGTGAAAAAGTAAGCTTCGTGGCCAAGCAGACACCTACTTCATCTTTTCAGAAGCGTATACATGTAGTATATATATGACACAGGCTGTGCTGTGGTGCTCTGCCCCTGAGCTACAATGCCAGTCCGCATTCAGCTTTTATAAACAACTTTATTTGTTCAAGTATTCCCTTTCTTTGGATACCGGGAATTCAAGACCTCGAGCTTGCCAGGCAGGCGTTGTGACGCTGAGCTACATCCCTGACCCTGTTTGTTCAAATACTCTCATACTATGGAGTCCATTTTTGGTGTCTTTTTTTTTCTTTTTCTTGCTTTCTTCCTCTCTCTGTGTCTTTCTCTCTTTCTTTTTTCCTTTAATTGGGCTTGCTTGTTTTTATATTTTGAAGCTGTATTCTTAGGTATTATCCTTTATCTTTTGGCTGCATATGACAAATTTTCAACCTGTTCTTATTTAATTTTCCTCTCCAACTAATTGATAGGGTGTGTCAGTCTATTAAAAAATTTCTTTGTTTTATATGCAAGTCATTTCATGTAAATAGTATATATGATAACATGAGATTTCACAAGGCCACTCAGTTCCCCTTTTAAAAAATAATTTGAGGCAGGTATAATGGCACACAGCTATAATCCTAGTTCCTGAGGGGACTGAGGCAAGAGGATCACAAATTAGAACCTAGCAAACTTAGGTAGACGTGTCCCCAAAAAATATAAACAGTGCTGGGGACAGTGGCGCACACCTGTAATCCCAGCATGCTGAGAGACTGAGGCAGCACAATTATGAGTTTGAGCCCACCTTGGGCAAGTTAGTCACTTAGATAGACTCTGTCTCAAAATTTAAAAAAAAAAATTTAAAAAGGTGGGAAATGTAGTGAAGCTCTGGGTTTAATCCCTAGTATTGACCAAACAGCTACAACGACACAAAACAAATAGAGAACTTGAATTTGATTTAATCAAATTGCTTCATCCTGGCCAATAATACTCAACGTGCTTCAGCTCCTGTTTCCAACATTATTTCTTGATACTCACCTCTTGGCCGAACTCACGACCTTGCGCTTGCCTGGCAGGCGCTTTTGCCGCTGAGCTAAATCCCCAGCCCCTCTAGTACTTTTTTGAACCCTCAACTAGAATATCATCTTATTAGAAAAGGTTAAACATATTTAGGTAGACAAAATGCAGCAGGTTATCTGTATATAGAAGTGCCCGGGAACAGTCTTCTTAAAAAATAATTTTAGTACTCTAACTAGACCTATTTTTTACGTATATTTGTTGAAAGAAGGATTAGAAAGTAAAGAACAGAAAAACAGTGCCTTGAATAGAGCCAGGAGATTTCTAATCTGAGAGTGAGACCTAATTTCAGATGTCATTGAAGTTGGTCAGAATTAAGGAGATACTTTGGCTCCAGCTGGCAAAACTATGTGGATATATAAGATAAATTGAAAAAGAGATCAGGAGTATGCTTGTGTGCGTATAGCAAGAGTAGGTAGTGACACATGACTACAGATTGAAAGTCAGTTTTCTGGGAAGAGATACCTTTAGTAACAGAAGCTTCTAACCTAATTGTAACCTGTTATTTTTATTTTTCTTTATGGTGCTGAAGAAGCTATATTTTTTCTATATCTGTGCTTACAGAAGAGAGAGAAAACACTGAATGTGTTTTTAGGACTATTGTAAAGTACAAAGTGTAATTTTTTTTTTTTAGTCTATAATTTGCATCCTCTTATTTTCATTGTCATCCTAAATCAGGTAATTTTTGTCTTTTTTAGATATTTAGCTTCCTGTGGTATACTGATGAGCAGAACTCTTCCATTACATACCTCAATTTTGCCTAAGGAGATACATGCAAGAACTTTCTTCAAAATCACTGCACCATTAATAAACAAAAGAAAAGAATATTCAGAGAGAAGAATTATCGGGTTTGTATATAATAGTAATTCCACTGAAAGAGCACATTCACAGTATTTTGTAGAGAATTGTTCACTTTCTGGTTTATCTTCTTTTTGTGTGTGTGTGGTGCTATTGATTGAGCTAAGATCCTTGCACATACTTGGCAGGTGCTCTCCAACTAAGCTACGTCCCCAGCCCTGTGGTTTATTTTATACGTTGATCTCTGCATTTTGTTGGTTGATCTTTCCATACCCTTTAGTATTTTGTGAATATAGTACTTTATAGATAGATTTAAAACTTGACGTGTAAAGAAAATAATTTATGACCTTCATTTTTGTAAGCTGATTAATTCATACATATAGAAAGGCCCAAATTCTGTCATATTCCAAAATCATCCTAGCCCCCTTTTTTGCCTGGTAACCAAGGCCTTCACACTAAGCTATATCCATCCCTAGCCTTTGTTTACCTTTTTCTTTGGTTTGTGTGTTTATTTTTTGAGACAGGGTTTTGCTTTGTAGTGCAGACTGGCCTTGAACTCAGTGTGTAGCCCAGGCTGGCCTGCAATTTACAGCAATCCTGCCTGAATCTCTGCAGTGCTGGACTACTGGCATGCATCACCATGCCCAGGTCCTAGCTTTTATTTATTTATTTAGACAGGATCTCACGAAATTGGTTACTAGATCACTTTGGGCTGAATTGTGTTTAATATATATGTATGTGTATATACACACACACACACACACACACACACACCTCCAACCTGATATTTAGCATTTCTATGCTAGTGTTTTTCCTGCTTCTGTTTAGTATGGGAAAGGAGTTGATTTCTGTATAATTCATAATTGGTCACCTTACTGAATTCTAAATTGATTTTTGAATTGACACTCATAGCATATCCCTGCCAGTTGATAAAATGTACCTAATATTTTTAGTACATGTGCTTTGTATTTCATGCTGTGATTTAATGTTTTGTCTAATACTTTCAGAATTTGTGTGTTCTTACTTTAATAGGAATCCTTCTGATATTTCATCATCTAAGGAAGGAATCATAATTTTCCTTTTTTTGCCAATTAATATGGTTAAAATAGTAAGATTCTTAGTGTTAAATAATCCATATACCCCTAAATTGGTTGCTTTTGATTGTTACTGTTTTTTTTTATTTTTTTGGTACCGGGAATCAAACTCAGGACCTCGTGCTTGCCAGGCAGGTGCTTGTGCCACTGAGCTATATTCCCAGCCCTGTTACTGTTTTTAAAAATGTATTGCTTGATTTTATTTGCTGATGTTTTTCTTACAGTTTTTGCATCAATACTAACTAGGTGATGTTGGTATGTAAGTTTTTGTTTTTCTGTTCTTTTATTAGGATCTTTTATTAGGTTATCAGATTATTATGCTAAATCATAAAAGGAATAGAGGCTGGGCATGGTGGCGCATCCCTGTAATGACAGCACACAGGTGGCTGAGGCAGGAGGATCTTCGTGAGTTCAAGGCCACCCTGAACTATATAGTGAGACCTTGTCTCAAAAAGAAAAGCCCAAAAAGCAAACAAAAGGACTAGAAGATTTCCTTTCATTGTGTTCTAGAATAGTTTATTTTCCTTTTTAAAATTAAAATAGTATTTGCATCTTAAACGGAATGAAACTAGAAGTCAAAAGCAGGAGAAGCCACAGAAAATATACAAATGCATAAAGATTTAAAACACTTTAGAGAATCAGTAGGTCATTGAAATCCAAGGAGGCAATTTAAGAATTTCTAGAATCTGCCAGGTGTGGTGGCATATGCCTCTGAGCTCTTGGAAGGCTGAGGCAAGAGGATCATCATGAGTTCAAGGCCAGCCTGGGCTACATAAGTGAGTTCAAGGCCAGCTGAACTACATATTGAGACCTTGTCTCCGAAAAAAAAAAAAGAGAAAATAATCCTTAGAATCAAATGAAAACGGAAACCACAATGTCTAGGATACAGCAAAGGCAGTTCAGAGGGAAGTTCAGAAGTACAAGTACTCACATCAAGAAATTAGAGTGATCTTAAATAACCTTATGATAAATTTCAGGATTCTGGAAAAACAAGAACAAACTGAAACCAGACCAACAGAAGGAAAGAAAGAATAAAGATCAGAGCTGATGATAGTGAGACAGAGACTAAAAGCACAATACACAGGATTAGTCAAACAAGATTGATCTCAAAAAGATAAACAGGATTGATAATCTGTAGCCAGACTAACCAAAGGAAAAAAAAGACCCAATCAATACAACTTGAGGTAAAAAGGGAGATGTTACAGTAAACAACACTGAAATCCAGAAGATTATTAGGAACTACTTTCTTTAACTTACATTCTAATACATTTGGGATCTAGAAGAAACAACCTGCCCATACTGAAGCAAGAGGATATAAACAGCCTAAACTGATCAAAACCAAGGAAGAAAAGTTCGGAGAGTAACAAGTCTCAACAGTGAAAAACCCAGGACCAGATGAGTTCACTGCTGATTTTTACTAGATCTTTGAAGAACTAACCCGAATGCTCTTCACTCTAGTCCATGAAATAGAAGGGAAAGAAAGCCTCCAAACTCACTGTACAAAGCCAACATCACCCTGATACTATAAATGGACATGGACACAACAAAAAAGAAAACCACAGACCAGCATCCCTGATGAACATAGATGTAAAAAGCTTTAACAAACCAAATTCAACAACGCATAAAAAGATCACACACCTTGATCAGGTTGCTTTCATTCCTGGGATGGAAGGATGGTTCAGTGTATGCAAATCAATAAATGTATTACACCACATAAATAGAATACAGGATAAAAATCAAATGATCATCTCACTTGATACAGGAAAGGCCTTTGACAACATGCAACATCTCTTCATGATAAAAGCCTGAAGAAATGAGGTATGAATGGCCATATACAGCAGCCACACAGCCAGCATCGTCCTGAGTAGGGAAGATCTGAAAGCATTTCTTCTCAAGTCAAGGATGACTACTCACAGCTCCAGAGTCAGTAGACTGCTTGAAATTTTAGCCAGATGAATAGGTGAGAAAAAAATAAAAGGGAGGCCTGGCATAGTGGTGCATACCTGTAATCCCAGCATTCCAGAGGCTGATACAGGAAGGTTGCTGCAAGTTTGACACCAGCCTGGGCTACACAGTGAGTTCAAGGACTGCTTGAACTACATAGCAAGGGCCTGTCTCAAAGAAAAAGAAGGGATACAAATAGGAAGGGAGGAAGTCAGAGTATCTTTGTTTATAGACCATACGATCCTATGTCTAGGAGACCCTAAAGACACCACCAAAAGATTTAGAGTTGGTGAATTCAGCAAAGCATCAGAATGTAAAATCACCATTAAAAAATGAATAGCTTTTCTACATACCAACAGTAGACCAGTTGAGAAAAACTGTAATAGTTTCATTCATAGTAGCTTTAAAAATAAAGCCAAAAGTACAAGGATCAGTCTAGGCAAGAAGGTAAATGAGCTCTATTGTTAAAACGCCCTTATTACCAGAAACAACCTACAGGTTCAGTGCAGTCCCCATCAAAATACCAATGGCATTCTTCACAGAGCTAGAAAAAACAATCCTGAAATTCATATGGAAACAAAGAATACTCGGCATAGACTAAAGAGCAAGTCTGGAGGTATCACGATTGCTGGTTTCAGATTGTAAAGCCATAGTAACAGCATGGTACTGGCACACAAATAGACACATAGGCCAATAGAGCGGAATAGAGGGCACATTCACCTCTGCAACTACAGCCCTCTGATTCTGGCCAAAGGAGCCAAAAGTATGTGTTGGAGATCAGAGCCTGCAACAAATGCTGAGGGAAAACTGGATAAAACTAGATCCCTGTCTCACCCTGAACAAAAAAAATTCAGGATGGATTGAGACCTGTGTTTGAAACCTGAAATTTCGAATGTGCTAAAAGAAAACAGGGCAAACACTTCAAGCCATAGGCACAGGCAGAGACTTCCTGAACAAGACTAATAGCACAAGAATCAACATAGTGGGACAATATCAAATAAAAGTTTATGCACATCAAGGCATCAACTAACATTGAAGAGACAGCCAACAGAATGGGGAAAATCTCTGACAAGCATGCTTCCAACAGAAGTTTATCATCTAGAATATGTAAAAACTCAGAAATACTAACACCAAACATCAAATAGCCCAAGCAGTAAATGGTTAAATGGACTAAACAGACATGTTGAGCAGAGTAAGCTAGACTCAAAGACAAATACCGTAATCTTCCTGATATGTGGAATCTGAAAACAACATGAAAGTGGAAGGGAGAGACGAGGATATAGCTCAGCCGCACAAGCGCCTGTCTGGTAAGTGCAGAGTCCTGAATTAAATTCCTCATACCAAAAAAAAAAAAAAAAGTAGAAGGGAAACTATTAATAGGCAAGTGGGAGAGACTTAGAAGGGGAGGGGAATGGAAGGAAGGGATGTAGCAGGATGGATATGATCAAAATAGATACAGTGAAGGCCAATTCTTAAGAAATTAAAATGCCAGTATAAAGAAAAAAAGGCTATGGATGTGGCTCAATAGTAAATGCTTGCTTAGTATGTTATAAGGCCCTAGGTTTCATCCTCAGTACCAGAAAAAACAAATTTCAGTGTTGAGGAATTCAACACACACATAAAAATTAGAACAATAGTGTATGCTTACAGTAAAATAATAATATGGAGGCATATAGACTAAGTAGTTAGTCTACTATTACCCCTCTTGTTTTTGAAACAAGGTTTTGCAATGCAATTCAGGCTGGCCTTGGACTCACTTTGTAGCTTGAACTCTGAGCAATCCTCTTGCCTCAGCCTCCCAAGTGCTGGGATTATAGACGTGTGCCACCATGCCCAGCAGTATTATTTTCAAGAAGAAACAGATGTCAGATAAGTTTAAAATTGAGTAAATGGGATGTATACCTAACAGTTTTTCTTAAAAGAGTCAAGTATATTCTGCTTTATATTCTTTTTTCATTAAGATATTATAAATGTCTTTGCCTTAAAATATATATTTGACCCAAATTTTGGGCAGTCTATATAGAGTTCCACAGAAATCTTTCACTATGAGTGGTTAAATTTTTATTAATGTCTGTTTACTAATGGACATGTAGGTTGCCTCCATTTTTTCCCTGTCACAATCAATATTGAGTGAACATCTTTTGTATAATAAGGTAGTATGTTTTTTTTTTTTTAATTTTAAAGAGAAAAAAAAAAGATAACAGAATTTGAAAATAAGATGATAGGCTGGGCATGGTGGTGCAAACCTATAATCCCAGCACTTGGGAGGCTGAGGCAGGAGGATCGTTGCGAGTTCGAGACTAGCCTGGGCTACAAAGTGAGCTCAAGGCCAGCCTGAACTGCATAGAGAGACCCTGTCTCAAAAAGACAACAAAAAAAAAAAAGAAAGGAAATTAACAATGGTTATTGCATATTGTTATCTTCAAAGTAGTTGCTCAGAATACCAGATACAGGCACACAAAATTAATCAAACAATATAAGCACTAATTTTTCCTTTCAATGAACTAATAGAAATTAGTAGTACAGTAATTTTAGCTATCGTGTGTGTATGTATATATATACATATATATATATTTATTTTCCACAGTTTTTAAATAGTAAATTGGGAAAAGTGAAATTGCTGGCTAAAGTTAGAAATTGTTAGTCAAATTCACCTAATTTTCTTTCTTTCTTTTTTGCAATACTGGGGGTCAAACCTCGGGTCTCTGCACTCAGCTAAACAGCTAAATCCCTATCCCCTTTTTTTTGAACTTTACTTTTTTGAGTCATGGTCTTGCCAAGTCACCTGGGCTGGAGTGGAATTTGTAGTCCTCCTGCCTCCGCCTCTCAGAGTGCTGGGTTTATAGGCGGGTGCCGCCATGCCCAGCCTCACCTGTTGTTATGTAGAGGTGTAGACCTGTGACTGCAAGGCCTTTTGGTTTGTAAAGTTTTAAATATAAAGTCTGTCTTTTCAAGTGCACGAGTGAAATCGTGAAAACCGCGTCTGCAGGGTAAGTTAACCCGCGAGCTGCCAAGCTGTGGCCCCGCGCGTGCGCCTGTCCTGTCGCTCCACTTCCTGGATTGCTGGTAGTCGCTCTTTCCGGAGTGCGGTGTGACGTAGGTGCTGCGTGAACACGTTCTGTTCGTATGCAGCCTAACACACATGTTCCATGACTAGTTCTCAACACCCTTCATCTCTCTTCATAGATACTCAATGCAGGAAATGTATGATGTGGTATCGGGAATGGAGGATTACAAGCATTTCGTTCCTTGGTGCAAAAAGTCAGATGTAATATCAAGGAGATCCGGTTATTGTAAAACCCGGTTAGAAATCGGCTTTCCACCTGTACTGGAGAGATACACATCAGTAGTAACCTTGGTGAAACCGCATTTGGTGCAGGTAATAGTTTTGGGTTTTATTTTTAAATATTTCTCAGATATTAGTTACGTCAAATGAGCTATGTACTATAATATATAAAAAGCTTATAAAGATATCCTTTTACTAGTAGAAAAAGGGGGGAAAAACCTATTTATTGCATCTCTTGTGTTATTTTATACAGTATTAGCATTCTTTTTCTCCTTTTCTTGAGGAGTACTAAATCACAGCAAAGATCATTTGGACCACAGATGAGAAAGGTTTTAATACCTGCACTATTTTTAGAAAATACATTGAATGTTTTACTACTGGGTAAAAGAAATTTGTTTAATTAATATATTTTCTGAAAAGTTAAAGAAGGGCTAGGAGTGGTGGTACACCTGTAAACCCAGCTAGTTGAGAGGCTGAGGCAGGAGGATTACAAGTTCAACATCGCAAGATCTCAAGTAGGCCATCTTGGTCAATTTAGACTCTGTCTCAAAATAAAAAAAGTACAAGGGCTGAGGATGTAGGCTAGTGGTAGTACTTGCCTAGCATGTATGTGGCTCAGGGTTCAATCCTCAGAACCACCAGAAAATTAAAAGCCCAACATGGGCTGGCTGTGATGGTGCATGCCTGTAATCCGTGAGGCAGGAGGATTGCTGTGAGTTCGAGGCCAGCCTGAACTACATAGTGAGACCCTGTCTCAAAAAGACAAAAGTAAATAATAAATAAATAAATAGCCCAGCACAGACTCATGACTGTGGCCTGGCTACCATTTGTCGCGTTGCAGGTGGCAGATAGCAGCTCTTGTGGGTCTCCAGGCAGTATTTGCTTGAATGGTGTGGAATGGAGCTCAGCAGACTCCGTGCGCAGACCATGCACACACACAGCAGTGTGACGGAGAGGTCCGAGAGAGCAGGCGGGGCCAGGGCTCGGGTCACCACTTGAGGAGGGGCCTAGGAGAAGGGGTAGAGCACATGGGAAGGCTGCGGGCGGGTGACGAGGTGCGGGCAGGAGAGGGTCTCGGAAGTGCCACAAGGACCCGTGTCTGCCCCTCTGAGTGCGCCAGCCTCCGCGGTGGCATGTAGTCGCTGTGATCTACAGCTCAGGAGTCTGGTACAGATGGAACTTACTCAGGACCGCTCTGAAATGGCAGAGCTGGAAATGGCTTCCCATCCTGAGTGCTGTGTGCTGGAGGTGCTTGCGGGAGAGAACAGCGGGCTCTGGCGGGTCAGGTCGGTCCTAGTTCAGGCTGTCAGAGCTGCTCACCTGCTATGTTTGGGCTGGAATCAGGGTTTGATGAAGGAAGCCTCAGTCACTGCCCGTTCCCACCAGGACGAGGGTGTTAACCACAGTTGTTTCACTCTCTTCAGGCGTCCTGCACGGATGGGAGACTTTTCAAACATTTGGAGACAATTTGGCGTTTCAGCCCAGGCCTTCCTGGCTACCCAAGAACTTGCACCTTGGATTTTTCGGTAAGTCTTTTCGTTAGTTTCACATAGAAAGTGAAGCTACTCAAATGGTAGTGACCCATTGTTTAGAACTCAGTTGCTGTAATTATCTAATACGCCTAGAGAATACTGAAAGACACCTTTTAAAGAATCAGTCACTCTCTGCTTATTTCTCAGGTACTGACTCTTAAGGAATGGTGCGAATATTTTGTTTGTCTTGGTTTTGAGAGACAGGATCTCACTTGTAGTCCAGACTGGCCTCCCAACCTGAGGGAGTGCACCTGCCAATCAGTAAAATTAAAAATTAGTGGACATTAATAGGACAATTGTGGGTTTGAAGAAACCGCGTAAGCTAGGTGCTAGCGTTTTTATCTGATAGTAATTCTTTCTGTTGATTTTGGATTTTGACAATTGTACTATGGTTATATAAAACATTTAGGGAAATCTGGATGATGGGTACATGGGAATTCTATGTACTGTTTTTGCAACCTTGTTACAAAAATGAAGTTTCAGAAGGATAAGCTAGGGCTTGTGGTGTAGCTCAGTAGAGGCCCCTGGGTTTGGTCCCTAGGTTCCCCCACAAAAAAAGATAAAAAAACATTTAAAAATTCAGAGGGTATTTGTTCCTTAAAATACTTCAAATCAGGCATGGTGACACACACCTTTAATCCCAGGACTTTAGGAGGCTGAGGCAAGAGGATCTCAAATGGTCTGGCTTGGGCAACTTGTCAAGACCCTGTCTCAACATAGAAAATTTAAGAAGGGCTGTGGATGTAGCTCACTGTGAAAGCTTTATATTCAGTCCTGTGAACCACAGAAAAAAAATCAGCTCTTCTTTCTGTTGTTTTGGGTTTGGTTTTTGAGACAGTCTCACTTTCTGTGTAGTTGAGGCCAAACTTGTAGTGATCCTCCTGCCTTAGCCTCCCAAGTGCTGAAGTTACAGGTGTGCACTACCACACCCAACCAAAAATCTGTTTCTTTTTTATTTATTTTTGTTGAGACAGAGTCTTGGTATGTAGCGCAGGCTGGCCTTATACTCACTTATGTAGCCCAGTTTGGCCTCGAACTCACAGCAGTCATCTTGCCTCAGCCTTCTGAGTGCTGGGATTACAGGCGTGTGGTACCACACCTGGCAAATCAGTGTTTCTTCCAGCAGTCCTTGAATTCTGTCAAGAACAATGGATATACACGAAGTTCTACATCATTGCAGCACTCAGCTACCAGCTGTGTCCCTCACGGACAGGGAGTTTGTGTGCAGGCCCACAGGCCTCCTTCCTGCTGCTTCTCAAGGGACAGATGCTGTGACACTGCCTCTGCTGCCTGCCCCTCTGGGGTGCGCTGGGCCTAAGAGTGCAGTTAGGAAACTCGGGTGAGTCCCGCTCAGCAGAGGTCTCTGCAGCTCTCCTCATGTGGGGCACTGGGCTCTCCACCCACCTGCTCGCAAGGGGCTCTACGGCCTCTTGCTACCATCATCACGCATAGTGGCCAACAAGATTTCCTCTTGCGTTGCTGGGCACTGCAGCGCACCCCTGTAACCGTAGGCTGAGGCAGGAGGATTGCAGCCTGGGCTGCACAGTGAGTTTGAGGCCAGCCTGGGTCACATAACAAGATCCCATCTCAGAGATACCAAACAGAACAGCAGAAGATGCACGTGTGTGACGGGGCTAAAAGCTAGACGGAGCTGCACCACAGTGCTGTCACGTGAGGGCCTGAGCCTAAGTGGAATCCAGCAATGAAAAGCACTGTCTAAAGCCCCGTGAACATTTTCCTGCAGGTTTCATTTGAGTTCCGCTCACTTCTGCACTCGCAGCTCGCTACCTTGTTCTTCGATGAGGTGGTGAAGCAGATGGTGGCTGCCTTTGAGAGGAGAGCGTGCAAGCTGTACGGCCCGGAGACCAGCATCCCGCGGGAGCTGATGCTGCACCAGGTGCACCACACGTAGGGGCGGGCACAGCTGCGCCTCGCAGGCCACTGTTGGCGGTGCCTTTGGGGCTCGGTTTAGGTGTCAGAAAGCACTTACTAAGCCCAGCTCTGATGACAAGTCTGCTCCGCCGAGAACTTGCACATAGAACACGGACCCACCTGTACATAAGAATTTGTTCAATCAAGTATGATTCCAAGGTTCTGCATCTGCAGTAATGGGGATGCCACCACTATTGTAGAATACTGACCTCATTCTGAGCAGAAATTAACACTGCCATTTAAAATACCTTTTAATTATCACCTTCCCTGCAAGAAGTTTGAGACGCATAGTTTATATTAACCATATCATGTCTAAGTTATTAAATTCAGAATAGGTGTAACTTATTGCTATAGGGCTGCTGTATGGCTTAGGATAGTTGAATAATCACATTTCAAACAAGAACTTTGATTTAGCTGGGCATGGTGGCACGAGCCTATCATCCTAGCTACTTGGGAGGCTGAGACAGGAGAATCCCAAATTTGAGGCCAGTGTGACCACCTTGGTGAGACCCTGCCTTGAATAAATCTGAGTGCTAGAGCACTTGCGTAGCATTTTCAAAGCCCTGGGTTCAATCCCTAGACCACAGTGGAAGAAAACTACTTAATGAAGGTTCTCTGGTACTGTTGGTCGGTGAGGCTGGCTCAGGATGAATGAACGGTGAGGTGTATGCTTTTGTTTCTGTTCTGGTTCTGAGTGGTCCAGACCATGGAGCTCCCTTTGCGGGGGTGGGGTGGGGTGGAGTGGGGGAGCCTCTCCGGTGCTCCGGCTGCCCGTGGGGACACTCACCACACGTGGGTCTCGTCCCCCAGGAGGCCACGGCGGAGACGAGTGGTTGACTGTCTTCTGCACCAGGCAGCCCCTTTCCTATTTATTGCGTGTACTCACTTTCTGTAGTGTATTCCAACCTGATGTTTTTTAAACAATCATTGTAAGGACTGAAGTAGTAACTTTATAATAAAAGTTAATTTGTTTATTTTTGGTACAATTTCTTTGATTATTGAAATCTGTATTGTTCGAGTGTGGGTTTAGGTGAAGTGTTACAGCATTTCATGCCTTAAAAATACTTCTGTAGAAACTGTGACAAGCTGGGCAGCACCCAGTCTTCTTGAGTCAGTGCTGGCCTCCTTCCCTCCTGTGCTGCCAGCCACAGGCCTCGGCGTTAGCTGTGTTCCTGGTCTGTGAGGGCCTTCTCTGGTGAGTTCCTGAGTGACACGTGTCTGTGCATGTGTGTGTGTGCATGTGTGAATCCTGGAGTCCCACCCCGTCGGGCGCCGGCCGTGCACGCAGTGGCATCCACTGCCAGCAGTGCCCACTCAGAACCCGGGGCCTGCCCGAGGCTTGAGGAGTCTGCACGCTGTGCTGCGCCTTGTGAGTGCAGTTATAATGGCAAACACGGGACTTGTTCTTTACTCTTTCCGTACCATGTCACTGCTCTTGATGGGACTAGCTCTTGCACCTTATCACTTGTAGAAATGCCACTGTCAATGTTGGGCTTAGAATCCAAGGCACCAGAAGCCGGGTGTGGTGGCGCATGTCTGTAATCCCAGCACTCAGGCTGAGGCAGGAGGATTGCTGTGAGTTCGAGGCCAGCCTAGACTACATAGTGAGTTCAAGACCAGCCTAAGCTACATAGTAGAAACCCTGTCTCAAAAATAAACCAAAAAAATAAAAAGCCTCCAAACGGGACATGGTGGCTCACTCCTGTAATCCCAGCACTCAGGAGGCTGAGGCAGGAGGATTGCTGTGAATTCAAGGCTGGCCCAAATGGTGTAGTGAGACCCTGTCTCAAAAAAGACTCCAAGGCACTGGGATATTCCTGGGTCAGTCTCATGATAGGAGGTGCATTTTGGTAGAGAACTCCAAAATACTCAACTGTTACTTTATCCAGCAATCCCTCTGACCCAGGAAACTCCCAGATAAGAGTCAGGGTAGGCACAGGTGGAGAACAGGACAGAGCCAGGTGTGCTAGTGCATACCTGTAACCTCAGGAGGATCACAGTGCATTCAAGGCCAGCCCAGAAGACACAGTGAGAACCTGTCTCAAAACAGTAATGTTTTTTAATTTTTTTTTTTTTTTTTTTTTTTTTTTTTTGAGACAGGGTCTCGCTATACAGTTCAGGCTGGCCTTGAGCTCACTTTGTAGCCCAGGCTGGCCTCGAACTCCCAACGATCCTCCTGCCTCAGCCTCCTGAGTGTTGGGATTACAGGTGTGAGCAACCATGCCCAGCTCAAAACAATAGTGTTAAAAACAGAAGACAGTGCAGTGTTGGTCGTCTCTGCCCAGGTATCATTGGCCTGTGCTGACATTTGAGGAAGTTGAGACTTGGGCCTAAGCCTTTGCGGCTGTGGGAGTGAACAGGTTCTAGTGGGTCTCACCACAGCTCCCGAGCTCCCTCAGCCCTGCGCAGTGAGAGGCTGCTCAGGACACTGGCCCCGGTGTCCAGTATCTTCAGTCTGGGCCGAGAGCTTTTAGAAGGTGAGGGTGAGAGAGCTGGGGCGTCACAGGCTGCCCACGCAGGTTTTCAGCCTCAAGGGCTAGTGTCCTACGCTCACGGAGCATGGTTCTGTGTGCTTGGCAAGCGTGAGAAGGGCACTGCTCCTGCCCCCATTTCCTGCGGTAGGAAGCAGCTACGGCAAGGTGAAGTAACAATTGGCAGGGCGGTGGAAGGTGGCAGACGGGTGGTGAGACTGCAGCCGCGGGCCCTGCGCTACCCTGTGCGCCTGCACCGTTGCAGTCGTGGGCTGGGGCTGTGCGGCGTGCTCCACGTGGGGAGTGCGGAGAAAACCACCTGTGCGAGCGTGCTTCCTCTCCTTGCTGCCTTCCCTTCCCTCCCCTGCTGCCTTCCCTCCCTCTCTGTGGGAGTGTAAGGCAGGGTCTCATTGCATCATCTTGCCTCAGCCTCCAGTGCTAGGATTACAAACCAACCCTCCGCCCCCTATCCTTCCTCCCCCTTAGGGTCTCGAATATGCGTGCTGCTCGGCAGCCATCCCTGACTAGTGCTGAGCTGCATCTCCATTACTTTTATTTTAGATGCTCTTTTAAGTTGGTGGGCCTCAACTTGTGATCTTCCTGCTTCAGCCTCCTGAGTAGCTGGGATTGCAGGTGTGTCAGAGCCACTTCATAGTGGTCTCCATCATGGCACCAACTTCCTGAGAGTGGCATGTGGCCAGGGGAATTGAAGCCTCCCTAAGTAAGTGTTCTCATTGTGGACGGAGATGGGAAACATGACCTTCCTTGCTGTGTACCCGGTTGCTCAGACAGGAGGCTGGTAGCCGCCTCTGTCATGGTGAGGAAGAGCCGAGGTGACTCCAGGGTTGCTGAGTCAGAAGGCAGCGTCATCAGCTCCGCCTGCCTGGCTGTGGGAGATAACAGCCTCTCTCCTGGCACTGTGTCCCTCGGGCGGGGCCTGGTGACTCGTGGCTGCTGCCCGCGCTCCCTCTGCCTCCTTCTGTGAGGCTCCTGGCCTCCTGAGACCTGCCTCTTCTTGCCTTGATTTACTCCCTCAAAATGCTCCAGGGGCCTCATGTGCAAAGGCAAGGGTGTTTGTCCACGCCTGAATGCATGCTCCTTGATGGCAGGGACAAGCGTTCTGAGTGTGGGGTTCCGGCAGGCATGTCTGGGACGCTTGGCTAGCTGCCCTGTTGCACAGCTTGTTTCCTTGTTGTCTCAGGCTTGTCTCTGCCTCGTGTCCTATGGAGGACTGAGCTCGCTGGGGAGGGAGGAGGGTTACCAAGAGGGTAACAAGTTCGCGTGCTTGTTACTCCCATTTCTCCGAGTGAACACTGCAGAGTGGTCTCCACGCCTTCCTGGGTGTGTGAGTGTGAACCGGGCTCAGGAGGACACCATCCTAGTACAGCTGAGGACAGGGCTGTGTGGCTGCAGGAGGGGACGTGTAACCACTTGCACAGCCAGCGTGACATTCAGCCTGGACCCTTAGGATTAGTCCCTTTTTTTTTTTTTTTTTCCGGTTTTTCTCCGGTACCAGGAATCGAACTCACAACCTTACACTTGCCAGGCAGGTGCTGTGCCGCTGAGCTAAATCCCCAGGCCCCCTTCTTTTGCTTTTCACCTTTTTTTTGGTACCAGGAATCGAACTGAGGACCTTGCCCTTGCCAAGCAAACACTGTGCTGCTGCGCTATATCCCTGGCCCTTCATTTTTTTGTTTTTCTTTTTATCAGAAAGCCTTACTTACTACTTCCGGGCAAACTTACATCTTTTTTTTTTTTAAAGCATACTTACATCTTGTTTTAGAGACTTTAATATTCAGAGTTGACGTCTTTTCTGGAAATGAGTGCTAACTTGTGCATGGTCCTCGCTACTTGTTCTTTTGTGTGTTCTGTTTTTGAGACAGGGTCTCGCTACGTAGTTCAGACTGGCTTTGAACTCACCACAGTCCTGCCTCGGCCTCTCAAGCACTGGGATTACAGGCGTGCATCACCACACCAGGCCTCGGCACCCTCTGACATAGTGACTGCATTTGCCACTAGCAGTGACTTGTCAGCCCCATGTTCCTGAGTCCCTCTTGTAGTTCCCTGGGAGCTGGCTTTCTCCCTAGGGAATTGAGATCCATCGCAGGACTCCAGTTATCCTTGACCCTACTAGATGCTTCTGGCCGGCCCTCAGCTCTTCCTGCATCTGTGCAGTAAGTCGTCACACTGGCGCTGCTGCCCGAGGACCAGGAGGCATCTAGCCTTTTGCCCAAAACTTATTTTGGTTATTTTGATTCTCCAAGATGGGTCCAGCTGTGGCAGTCTCAGTTGCAGCAGAAACATCCGTTTTCTCAACTGTTTTCCTGAAATGCCAGAATGAGACTTTAGGGCCATTTCTTTTCTTGGGTCATCCTTTCTTCATCTTTTGCTGTGTTTTTTGAGACAGGCTCTCGATATGTAGCTTAGGTTGGTCTTGAGCTCACTAGGTCAGTCAGGCTGGTCTGGAACTCATGGCAGTCTTCCTGTCACCCTTTCAGGCACACTCATTTGTTCTAACCCATTTCTGGAACTGTCTTTTGTTCAGGTAAATCCTTTGCAGAAAGGCGGGTACACTCTGCTAACCCTAACTGGGAGGCTGTGCCCCTGCCTTTTTTTTTTTTTTCCTTTCAGTTCAACATCTGATGGGGGCTGGACATATTCCTTGTGGCTTCCCA